TCAAGTCTGTGTCGCAAGGAAAAGGATGGCGAGAGAGGAGAGTGGAAGGGAAGGGCGATAAAATCTAAACTTATAGTAGGGTGGTTTCGGTCTGGATGTAGGTCCATGCTATGGCGGTTTCTCTACCGCCCCCCCCCCCCCCCCTCACCACCTTACCTACTTGCCCCACTGCGAATACTTTGTGTATGTTTGGTTAATTTCACTGAATAATATTTGCGCCAATTCTGATTCTTTGTTTCCATCCACCAGTACTTCAATCTTTTATATATCACTCCCAATCTCTCTCACTGCCCCCTCCTCCCCCTCCCCCCCTCTCTCTCTCTCTCTCTCTCTCCCTCTCTCTCTGTCTATCTATCCCCTCTCTCTCCGCCTATCTCTCTCTCTTTCCGTTCCATCCGCCCAACTTCAAATAATTCGTATAATTTAGGTTAATTTCACTAAATAATATTTCCCCCTTCTCTCGCTCCGTTTTCCCGTCCATCAGCACTTAAATCTGGGCCCCCATTTCACAAAACATGGGTGGTATTCCGGTAGCGCGTACTAAGTTAGCGCATACTTAGTTAGTTCATACTTTTATGGAGTGCCTGTTGCAAACTAATTTACCCTGTACAGATTATTTTAATCCTTCGATGAAAAGTGTCCAAAAAATTAATTTTGCAATGAAATGGGATGAAAAAGATAATATGAGTATGAAGTGAATTTCAACAAAGTCTTTGGTAGATTATCTTTGTCATGAATATTGAAGGAGGAAGGTGAAACCTAGCATTCCATAGAAGTGTGAACTAAAATTCTTGTTTAGTCTGGACTTAGTCCCGGCTTAACTTATGAGAATACCACCCCATGTCATCAGTGACAAATCACAGTTTTTGTTATAAGCTAGTGAAATCCCTGCTTCTGATTGGTTATCAGCAGAATTGTCACTGATTTGTGTCATTTTTTCGTTGAAAAAGGGCTCTGTGAAACGGGTCCCAGTACTCGACTTCATTTTAGAAATACTTGCCACATTTCCAAGAGCCTGTTTTCATAGGCTAGGACTAGTATAGGAGCAAGATTTAAAAAACATGATACAATGTCATAACCTATGTTTGAGGATATGTCACAGTCTATAAATTTCTGTCTGTGAAATTATGTCACGGTTTATCAATACCAATACGTGCAGGTCGCCACTCGGTTTGTAGGCACAAGCAACAGTTCAAAAGGTTCGACGGGACAGACTTACCCACGAGACCGAAAACAAAAATGTCGGTTGAAGTGAAACCTCCAAAAGGCCGTGACATCTATCTTTATAGGCCTATTTATATATTTACAATGTATTTGTCTATCTATCAATCTATATATCTATATCAACAATTTACCAGCTAAACTATCTATCTACCCTTATATAACTTGTATTACTGTAATATGCTTTGTATTGGATATCCTATAGGCCTATAATTATGTTTCAATTCATACCTGTGTATTATGGTATTATGCGTATGTAACCTTGCTTTTAGGTCTTAAAATATATAGTTTTCTTTGAATCGAATTTTATTATTCCAAAATTATGTCTTGAAGTATGTTAAATTTTAACGTATGTGTATTTTAATCTTTTTTTGGAATCACTTGATGGTCGTATGCCCCCAATTATACAATTTTCACGCAACTGCGCCTGGAGTGTCATTTTTGACAGACATGGCGCATTATAAATGTTCACTATTATTATTATTATCATCTATCCTAAGCTATCTATCTGAGTGTTTCTTTCCATATACTGTCTACCCAATCTCTCTCTCTTTTCTTTTTTTTTTCTCTCTCTCTCTCTCTCCCTCTCTCTTCCCCTTCCTTTCCTTTCTCCCTTCCCCTCCTCTCTCCTCCTGTCCCCTCTCTCACACACTGACACAAAACAAAATTGGGCTAGCATCACCAACCCCTTTAGACTAACCTGCCCCCTCCTCTCTCATCCTGCCCCCTCTCTCACACAACAAAAAGTTGGGCTAGCATCACCGGCCTGCCACTCAGACCCATCAGTCTCTCACCCCTTTTGTTCTACCAGGTTCTACCAAACAACATGGGTGCAACATGGGCACCCTATATCCCCGCGGGGAGGGCTCATAGGGGTGCACCTTAATTGGTTTGGGTTCAATTAAGGGGGTACACTAATGAGGATGACGGATAAAGATGGGATTAGGACGTCAAAGGAGGATGTATTTTTATTATTGTTGTTTCTTATTGTTGTTGTTGGGGTGCGCGCTCGGCTTGAGCATGGACTAAGAGAGAGAGAGAGAAGAAGAAGAAGAAGAAGAAGAAGAAGAAGAAGAGAGAGAGAAAGAGAGGACGGGAGAAAGCAAGAGAGAGAGAGATTTCCATGCATGGTCTATAAAAAGAAGACTTACATTTACAGTTATCTTTGCTTTCTCTTTAAGTAGATTATCTTATTCTTCTTCTTCTATTTTTGTTCTTTCTTGATCGCTTCATTATATTTCACTCTCTATATTTAATGCTATGAACATGTAATCCCTTTCATATCTCCTGTTCATGTTCTGCGTATTTGCATTTGTTATCTCTCTCCTCTCTCCCTCTGTTTATCATCTCCCCTCTCTCTCTCTTTCTTTTTCTTCCCTTCTCTAAAATAGTTCACTTCTCTTTTTTGTTGTTGTCTGTTTTCTTCTTTTCATCACTCTATCTCCACCAAACTGTCGATTTTGATGCAAATTATTTTTGGATAAAGACCTTAATTCATTCGTTTCCTCTGCTCTTTCTTTGTTGCCCTCTCTCTCTCTCTCTCTCTCTCTACCATTAGTATCCTCTGTATCTGCTTCGTTTCTATGTGTTAAAGATTTAAAATCACTTTTTAGGAACAATAATTGAATGCGTTTATGTAGCGCAAACGGGTCTTATAATTCAATACCAATAGGTCATTTATTTTTAACAGTACGAAGTGACGGTAGTGAGGAAAATCGTAACGCAAAGTGAATGCAATTTTTTTTCACTACCGTCACTTCGTGAAAACAGCGACGAATGTGTGCAACTTTTTCCCTGTGAATATAAACGATGATAATAATAACTTTAAACATATCAATAATAATAATAACGATAAGTATATTCTTATGATTATAGAGCATGATACCAAAAAAGGTTTCTATAAACGCGCTATACATAGTAAGGTAGAATAATATTTTAAGATATAACATCAATAGCATAATAACTGAGCGCAATCAACGTAGTTTTGTTAAAGATTTCGGAGTAGTACCATATATTTTATAAATGTGGGCTAATTTGTTTTCCTGTGAACATAATATACAAATAATACACATCAGTGAGGGCATTAGTAAGGATTATGCACACAAGGTACCTTTGGAACAGTCTAACACGCCCGAGGCGATAGCTGAGGGCGTTTAGTCTGTTTTGGTTCCAAGTGTGGGTAATTTTACTAATGCTAGAACAAGATGATGTGTAATATTTGTTTTATAAGATTATGTTTTACTTGTTTTATAAAATGATGTTTTTTTCTAACATGATTTTGATAATGACCGGTCATTAGCCAAGTTGCGCGCGATTACGCGTTAGACAAAATAAACGCCTGGTCACGTGTACGCTTTCACTCAATTATTTGATTAAGATCCACGTCATCATCTTATAAATGATAATATTTATGACATATATAAGGATAACGATATCATAATGAAGCGCAATCCATTTACTGTTGTCAGCCATTCGGAATAGTGTAGATCATTTTGCCAGCAGTTAATAACTGTGTCCTACATTTGCCACACTCAACCCAGGCGATGTAAATGGGAACCTGACAGGAATTATTTCTTTGAAATGCTAGAGCACCGTAGTGGCAGCCATACTAGGGTAATAATTGCGAAGGGCCGGGATCGTCAACTCTGACAGATATGAGCGGCGTCCAAGAACCTACTATTATTTTATTATTAAAAGAAAAAGAAATGAATGAATTCTATAGTTTCAACATATTTAGATAAATAATAACTTGTTCCTTCTAAAGCGAGCAGCTCCTGCCAATACTGTTGTATATCATTGGCTGTATTAGAAAGACGCTTAGCAACGACATACGAATTGAAAAACAATGTAGATATCGACTATGTTGGCCAAATTAATTTTACACAACTCTTTAGTTCTCTATTTTCAAAACACTTCCTATGGTGAGGGCGCTATAAGATAGAGATATGTTTAATACAAAACATTTTAAATCATCCACTCATTGACAATTTGACTATCGGTTTATCATTGAATGATAAATACACTGCTCTAGAAAATATTAAAAAACAAAGTTAGTACTAAGCAGTGTTTTCAACATCATATGATATGTTTATAGATATTATCATTTAGAATATATAAATAAACTTCTCATAATCTCGTATCCTCCCATCTTAGTAAAATGAATAATAGAAAAAGAATACAATCTGTTACGAGCCGCCGCCTCCCCCCCCCCCCCCCAACAAAACAAAAGTAACAGAAATAAGTAAAATAATAAATACTGCAGTTGTCAAGTTTACAAGTATAAAACCTCTTCTCGCGTCAATCATAACAGTGGTTTAAAAAACAATCTTTAAATAACTTGTAAATCAGCATGATAAATAAATTAGTGCTCGGATACATTGCTTTTCCAACTCCCTGCTATAACACTATTTATCTATATAAATTATTGTGCTCTGATTGTGTACCTTACATTATGACATAATGTTTAACAGTGTTTTAACCACTGACGAATCCATCTTGGTAAAAAATCATTATGCTTGAGCTATGTAAATTTATTCTTGTTTCACACGAAAAAAAAGCCATATAATATTATTATTATTATCTACATCAGGCTGACTATTAGCGAAAAAACACAATTTGACTTACCTATGTAAATATGGCTTTGTTTACGTGTGATATCCATATCAATAGTTGAAGTTCCCGGATGACTGAGCAATACGAAAACAATATTGATCAGTCATCCGGGTACTGCGCTAAAGATATCAGATACACTGATTTATTGTACCACCTGGAAGCCTTAAATAGATAATAATATTGAATACTGCTTTGTAAGAAATAAGAAATACAATAAAGTAGTTGTCTATAGATGGCGCTATATCTATTTCAGGATCCCGGCGAATATTTCACAGGGCTTTGTGTCTGTTGGGTTCCTGGGTTGGACTGAGTACGAACACGTCTTCTTATCCCAAACAGCCTCGCATTGGTCTTCATCGAAGATCATCGGTAGCCAGTAACTAATGAGAGAGAGAGAGAGAGAGAGAGAGAGAGAGAGAGAGAGAGAGAGAGAGAGGGGGGGGGGGAGGGGGAGGTGATGATTTTTTTTTTCTTGAATTATGTTTTGATTTTTATAAATAGAAATCTTTCTTTTTTTTAATGAAATGTTACTTATTATATTCCTTTTTACTGTAGGAACCCTCCAACATGCAACAAATCCTGAATTGTGCAACACCCTGGCTCGAACAGCTAATTCTCCCAACCAACTTTTTGATTTTCCCAACCGTTTTCCATGAAGATAAGAAATAAAACACGCTTTGAATAATCTTTCGATAATTCAATGCAATGATTTACATTCACTTAAAATATAATTGAATTATAATTATATAGATGGGAGAATTTAGGAATCGATCAGATCAGTTTTCCCAAATTTGTATCATTAATAATAATCTTTTTTTCACTCAAACTTTCAGATTATCTTTAATTGTACATCTATCATTGAAGTCACTACCTTAGCACCATTTTCTCTCATCTCAACAATGTTACCAAGTCCCTTTAAGGAAAATAAAAAGTGTTGCCGAAAACTTTCTAATATAGTCGTCCACCCTTCCCCATGATTCAGACGATATATTTGTATAATCTATTTTGTTTTTCGTCAGATAAACTATAGTTTATATTAGATAGATTAGACAGATACCGAGATGTGATTGGTCCAGAGCTCGTCAAGTGATATCAATTGATATATTCCTGTCCGATTATATTTTACCAGCTGGTGAAATGAATATATTTTAATCAATGCATGTCGCCCTCTTGAGGACTGTATGTCACCAATGAAACACATTACACCATTACCGAGGGTCATTTTTGTTTTCCCGATTTTTTTTTTCCCCCAATTTTTTAAATTTTTTTTTTAAAAGTTTTTTTTTTGTTTGCTCTTCTTTTTCCTTTTTTGATTGTCCCCGAAAAAAAAAAAAATGAAAAAAATTTCGGGCAAAAAAAAATATGAACCCCCTCTCCACCACCCCCCCCCCCCGAAAAAAAATAAATAAAATAAAGGCTATCTTATATAACAGTTATTGAATGGCAGGGGTATATAACATTCATTGGACTTGAAGGGAAATATAACCACTTGGGAAATATAACTCCCTTCAGCAGTCCAAATAATGTTATATTACACCCCCTGCCAGTCAATAACTGTACAATATTTTTTTACTTACTCTTGACAGCATTTGTACCCGTAGCCTTTCCCAAGGCACGTACAGTCGTAGCAATTTTTGGTTGACCATGTATCCCAGCGTTCATAGCGTGTGCCTTGGTACTTACACATCTTACCTAGCAGAGAGAAAATGACAAAAAGCAACACAGAAAAATCACCGAGATGGCGTTTGATTTTTCATTTTGTATCATTCTCTTGATTTCCTCAAAGTTTAACCTGCCATTTTATTTTTATTTAAAGCGTATCTGCCATAGTTTACAGGAGGGATTAGACTGCCCTGCAAGGTCACTGGACAGGTGGTTATCTCATCAACTCAGCTCTCAGTTAACATAAGAAAAAGAGGATCATGGGGGACCAATGGTCACCGATTAGGCATGGTTTGTTATATAGAGGGCGCAAGTAGTTACAAGTAGTGTAGTGGGCCTTTAAATCTAGTTAATTACTTCTTGGTTCTATTTTATTTTCCCGTTAATCCCACTTTACCTGCAGATAGTTTTTCTTCACGTTACGTTTTTCAATAGTATGAATTAATCGACAAGAAATGAAAGATCTGAATAATGAATATGCATGGTGCGCATCCCTTGGTACTTGGGGGGGGGGGGGGGGGGGATGTTCCGCCCGTTCACATGGCGAAAGGCCCACGTTGAGAGGGAGATACAGAAATAGACAGACATACAGAGAGAGAGAAAAAAAAGAGACAGAGACAGATAGAAACAGACAGAGAGAGAGAGAGAGAGAGAGAGAGAGAATGGGGGGGGGGGGCAGAACCTATGCAGTATGACGTCAGCCTAGTCTCACCGTGCAGACACTGTTACGCACACCGACTGATATACTCACTGTAGTATCTGCATCCATCTCCACGCCCAGCATCAGACGATGTAAAGAAACCGAGTAGTGTTACCATGACGACAAGCATCAATATATGTAACCTGTCCATGATCTAAAATAAATACAAATAATTAAAATCATTACACATTGTTATATTATATAGCAGAATTGATGATTAATACTGTTTCATCAAAAATATGTTTTCAAAAGTCATCACAACATACACATCAAACTTGTCCTAGTGTCCACCTCTATAATTATGAAGGCTACATGTCTATTAAAGTGGCGCTGTATTTTGTCTAGAAAGACCACTTGTTGTGTTTCCATGCACAGGGCGGTCGCTATATACAGGTTTGACTATATATAAACCATGAAACTATGATAAACAAGAGCTAAAGAGCTAATTAAAGTACAGCAATAATCATGCGGAAGAGAAAAAAATATTGTCAATATTGGTCGCTTTGACGATTGGAACACTAGATGGCGCTATTACAAAAATAAAGAATCCAACACAAACTCTTCTATTCTCAAAAAGCTGTGTATTCAGCTGTTTTCCCTATAGATTTCTTTTAAATCCATTGATGGGTAAGAATTATTACTGTATGTAAGTTACTCAATTCTAATTAAATTATTTTTCGGAAAAATACAACAACAAGTTATTTTGAGGATGGTGATCGATTGGACGACATTCTTTCTCTCCCATATCAAAATAAAGACATGTTAGAGGTTGATTGGTGAAGGGGGGGGGGGGGGGGTCTCACTGGCCACACTCGTATGAAACAACTAGAATACTAGATCGTCAAATGACAAATAGATCGATACATAATTTTAATGTGGGATAGAGACATGTGACATTTTTTTGGGGGAAAGAGGGAGACAGATAGAGAGAGAGGGGGGACGGAGAGAGAGAGAGAGAGGGAGATGGGGGAGGGGTGGTTGACAAGAACACTGATGAAAATTAAAACGAGCAAGGCGGCAAGGCGTCGACGGAATGAACATATTTCCAGCCTTGACAGTACACAGTATTTGCCTTTAAGAAAAGATGAGGGGGGGGGGGGGGGCTTTATACTCTCGTCTTGATGACGCTTCTGGTGTTTAGGATCATTATTGACGTGTTTACATTATATCAATCATCAAATCTAACCAAAATTAATAACGATGTAATTAGCATCATCTCACACCCAGAACATCACCCTTCTTTTCATGACAATATACTTTCAAAAACATAATTTCTATTTATGCTCATAGCAGAGAGATTAAGACAAATTTATTACCGCTAGAGAATATCATGAGTGAGAGACAACACCACGCCAATCTCCATGATTCTTTCTGCGGTTACTTAATCATAGAATACCCCGCCTCTGTGGCTAGCACTACAGGGTATGTCAACAAAAAGATCACCCCTTGATATAATTGCGATGTGTGTCTGCATGAAAGTATCTCTATATTAAGAATAGTATACCCTGGCAACTATATATCCGGATAGTTATCATTTATGAAAACTGCACTCTAGGATAACTATCATCGGAAAACAAAACCCTCTTCAAAATACCAATGGCTCCCAATTTTGTTAGGAGGAATTCAATACGCACAAATAATTTGTCATTGATTATATATAAGTTGTTTATACCGTGGAGACTGATGTATCAAACTAAGATTTGCCCAAAACAGATTTTTTTTTTTTTTTTTTAAAGGCCATGATAATAATTATTTCCTATATTAATTGCAAAATGAGTTTCAGTATTTCATACAACAATCTCAATTTTTCATTCTGAATATTCAATAATCACCATAGAACTTTGAATTAATCAGTAAATGATACAAGAAAAGTAAATACAACATGTTAGTTACTATTCAATCATTATGATGCCTTCATCCTCATTTCCCACAAATTGTTTTATCTTTTTTTTCTTTGTACGCCCTGTACACAGGCAACGTCTCAATGGACGCATTTATCACTTTAGCTATTAATATTTCAGCCCCTGCCTACGGTAATTTTTATTTCCATCATAAGGCTTTAAAGTAGAACGAAAATGATTGCATAAACATCACCTTCTTCATTTCAAGATCAGAGAAATAGATTCCCTTGATAGGAGGGTGATATTGAGTTGGTCTCTTTGAAATTAATTATTCAAAAATTGGCCGGGACTCAAATTTCGATTATTTCTTGGCCATATAATCATCCAGAGGTGGGGAATCCGAACCCTTCTTTCGGTTTCTATCTCTCTTTTCTTTCTTTATGATTATCTATACCCCCTCCTTTTTTTTTTCTCTCTCTCTCTCTCTCTCTCCCTCTCTCTCTCTCTTTTTATCTCTCTCTTTCTTTCTCTCTCTCCTTCTTTCTCTCTCTCTCTCTCCCCCTCTCTCTCTATCTCTCTCTCTTTCTTTCTCTCTCTCTCTCTTTCTCTCTCTCTCCTCATTTTATTCGGTTTCCCTCGTTCTCTAACTTATCCTGTCCGTTATCTTTGTCCCTTTAACTTTCAGTCAATTCTCCATTCTCTCTCTCTCTCTCTGTATCATTCTCTCCCTCTATATCTATATAGTTATCTCTTTATCTCTCTCTCTCTCTCTCTCACACACACACTCATTCACTCGCTCTTTAGAACACTGCATCGCTCTCCCCATCTCTTAATCTTTAATTCTCTCATTAATTTCTTTCTCTCATTCTTTTCATTTTGTTTAAATCTGCTCTTTTCTCGTTCCTTTACACCCGCCCCCTCCTTTTCTTTAATTATCTCTTTAATTTCTTTCTCTCATTCTTTTCATTTTTTTTTAAATCTGCTCTTTTCTTGTTCCTTTTACACCCGCCCCCTCATTTTCTTTAATTATCTCTTTAATTTCTTTCTCTCCTTCTTTTCATTTGTGTGTTAATCTGTTTTTTCTCTTTCCTTCAGATCCGCCCCCTTATTTTCTTTAATTCCCTTAGCTAACTCCTTCCATTAGATCCTCGGATTAATATAGAGATCTGTCAGATAGTGAGGTCGAAGAAATTTGACAAGTGAAATTATAGACCACCCCCTCCACCCCCCCCCCCCCTTCCCCCGGAACTCAAGATCTACCCTCTCAATAGGACTGTGAGTGTCAATTTATCATTACTTCATGCATGCGTAACCATTCACTCTTTTCGCTTGACTGAAATTACCGCCGATTTCCCCACCTGCTTTCATACGTGCGCGCAATCAATGGAGTATCTATACACGGGCACTCTCTTACTAATCGAGTCGTGAATAGGCAAAACAAAAAGGAAGGAAAAGCGAGAAAAGAGAGAAAATAGGACAATAACGACGAGAAAGAAGACGCAAAGACGCATGGGTTTCTCCCTACACACTAAGAAAAAATGGTGCAACTGTGCACCTTTAGGGGTTCAAACCAATGCAACAATAGCAGCACCTTTAGGGGTTAAATCCTGCACCCTTCAAAAGGGTGCCAGATTGAACCTTTTTGGGGAAATGTTAGTACCCTTTATGGTTCAATCCTGCACCTTTAGGGGTGCAAACCGATACAACAATAGCAGCACCTTTAGAGGTTAAATCCTGCACCCTTTAAGAGGGTGCCAGAATGCACCTTTTAGGAGACTTGTTAGTTCCCTTAATGGTTCAATCCTGCTTCTTTAGGGGTGCAAACCGATGCAATAGCAGCACATTAAGGGGTTCAATCCTGCACCCTTTAAAAGGTGCAATCCTGCACCCATCATCGAGGAATACTCGTGACATTTGCTCGTACATAAATACATATTAAACATGCATGATGTTTCTTGGTTAGTAATCATATAATCAATATATATATTGCTAAAACGTGAATGTAATTGTAACATGATCAGACTAAATAATCTATTGGTTAATGATTGCCGAAGGAAAATACAAATCACAAAATTGATGTGCATTGTCATAATTTGCTTAACAAATCATATGATAAATGTATTTTTGTGTGAACACGTGGAAAGTAATCATGAATATGCATGCAATATGCAAACTCTTATTTTGCACCCTTTTTTGCACCCTTTTTTCTTAGAGTGTACACACCGCCTAGCTTATCAGTGCCAATGGTACCTTTTTAAATTTGTATTTCCCCGAGTATGACAGGTTTGGTTTGATTTGATTTGATTTATTGATTACTATATCATATTTCAAAAATACATAATTTAAACATACATTATGTCCATCAGTGTGATATAATTAACGTTTCAAAGTACAATACATGATACTCATACTGTATAGAACATAAACAATATATAGGATAACATTAGTTTACTCACTTTTACAATTAACATGATATAGGAGGAATGAAGCGTGAAATGCTTACAGCCCTCGATTAAACGAAACTATTATTAATAAAACTAAACTAAACGAATCTAAACTAAACTCACAGCCTTTAGATAATAGATGAAACATAATGAAGATAGAGAAAGAGAGAAAAGATAGAGAGAAAGAGGGAAGACCTTACCCCTCCCCATCGTCCAATGGGTGGACTCACACTCTCGCTACACACACCATTGCTCAAAATCAAACTCGATATAGTAACACCATATGAAATCAAACAGATGGAATTTCAATTTAGCTTGGATTTCCTTTAATACTTATTTTTTTAACTTTATTCCGGTGTTGACGGTCAGTAATTAATAAATACCGAACTAAACCTCAACCTGAAAAATGGTTTTGACACATTTTGTTCACATAATCTACCGTAATTTAATTCTACGAATTACAAAAGGAAATTTATATGTTTTATAATTCGTCGCTGTTTTCACGAAGTGACGGTAGTGAAAAAAAATTGCATCCACTTTGCGTTACGATTTTCCTCACTACCGTCACTTCGTGAAAACAAGGACGAATTGTCTTATAGCCTTACCTTATCTTCAATATTGTAATATTATTATGCTTGGAAAAAGTAATAAATTGAACCTGAACTGAAGTGGATTATGAAGCAATAATGCCTTTTGAAACGGTGTCGACTGCAAATGTCCAAGAAATGTATTTTATTTAAGTAATTAGATAGTTCTGATAATAGAATTGTCATTATTTTTACTATTATTCTTATTATTTCTATTATTGTTGTTGTTGTTAAGATTAACATAATCATCAACGTCTACATTATAATACTCATTTCGCATGTTTACATTCTCATAACGAGGAGATAAAAGATCTTCACCATCTTTACCAAAATCTTCACCAATATGGAATTTTTAATAAAATCTATTACAACTAACAACATCAATAGCATTTTGAAATATCAAATTATACTCTGTGAGTGCTCTGTGTCTAATTTGTTATTGAATTGTTGCCAAATTAACGAAATTGGCGGGGTGTCCTATTTGTGCAGTGGAGTGTTTTGTGTTTTTTGTCCTATTGGGACGTAATTATGACGTCACGGATGAACGAACAGAGGTCTTTAATTACATCCCGCCCTTCAGAACCAATTAATACGTCAGAGTATATTACAAACAATGATGATGATTACAGAGATAGAGGTAATTAGTCATTTTGTTGCCATCAGTGTCTCTTTGTTTCTGCGAAAATGGATTCTTTTATTAAAAACAAAAAACGATACCAAAAACGTTACTCTAATTTCTCTAATCGCCTGTCTTTCTCTACTATACCCCCTCTACTATACCCATCTATACCCCCCTTTCTGTCTCTCCCTGTCTCTCTTCGTCTCTCTTTCTCTCTCTCTCTCTTTCTCTCTCTCTCTCTCTCTCTGTCTCTCCATCTCTATCTCTGGCTGTCTCTCTCTCTTTCTATCTTTCCCACTATCTCCAAGTACCATTCAACCCCTCTGTGCCCCACTCATTTCTCCTACCCCTCTCTTTATCTCTCTCCTCGCCTCCCTCCCTCTCTCCTCTTTTCTATTTCTTTCTTGAAATGAACTGAAATAGGCCTACCGTTTTTATTATAACTTGTCAGATCAAAGCAGACCCACAATTAATCATTTAGCGTTCTCTAAAAACAAAATCTGTCATTATGTGAGCCACATTTGATCAATATAGACGCTGTGATTTTCTGAGGTGAGAGAAACGAAGAAAAAAAATCATTCAAAACTTAATTTGGTTCTGGAAGAGGCCCATTGCAAATCCGATAAAATGAGATAATATTAATTGGTAGATCACGGCTTCATAAATTCATAAACGTCCACTATTATTATTGTTATAATTACACTATGTGGCCATGCATGATTACGTAATCGACCCAGCAATGTGTTATTATCATTGTGATAATATAAATGCAGCGTGAAATGAGAATGCCGCCGGTGATATTTGCTCGCTATCTCAAGGGAATGGCGTGTTATACACTGTAACCGCCGAATTCACCATTGCTTAATTAGCATTCCATTAAAAACAAAATAATCACACCAATTTCGTAGGTTCTTTTGAGACATAGTTTGTTCTTTATTTAAAAAAATAAAATGTAAACTTAAGCAAGAATATTATTTTCCTCGTTTTAGGGCATCGTGAGGTTATGATATTTTTGGGGTTTGCTTTTTTTCTCCAAATCCGGGATTCTGAGAAAATGAAAGTGAAAATCCGTTGAATATTAATTTCCTTTGTTTTGGCATAATGGGATTTTGAAGGGGGAATAAGGGTTAGCTTATGCGTTTCGAAACGTTACAATATTAAATATTAGGAATATTTATATACTCTACTATTCCATTACCAGAAACCATTCAAAAGCTATTTGTTAAAGTTAGGCAAGCTGAAAGTATCTTCTTTTGAAAGTGAAATTCCGTTAAATATGAATTTCCTGTGTTTTGGCATAACGGGATTTTGAAGGGGGAATAAGGGTTAGCTTTATATGCGTTACGAAACATTATAATAATAAATATTAGGAATATTCATATACTCTACATTTCCATTACCAAGAAACTGTTCAAAAGCTATTTGTCAAAGTTACACAAGCTGAATCTTCTTCTTTTTTTTTCTCTTTTTTTTAATATTTCCAGGCAAGATGATAACAATACATAGAAAACATCATAACGTTGACAAAATAATATAACATTAACATTATAATGATATTTAGAACCGGCCAATGCCTGGGGATCACCAAAACGAATTTAAAAATTCTGTCCAGAGGCTCCCCACATTGGCTGGTGCATACATAAAACAAACATAAAGAATTGAAAAGATGACTTACCACTTGAAAGGAAATGTGACGAACCCCCGTCTACCGCTGAAGTAAACTTAGCGAAGGACGGACGAATGATCGCGTCGTCTTCTCCGAAAAAACTGTTCCGCTCTACTCTAAAAACTGAATCCGAGGGAGGAAGACCTATCCTGTTAATTGAATTGAACCACTGCTCTTTCACACAACTCCAATCGACAAAAGAAAAAGGTCGAAGTCGTGCAATAGTCTTCAAAAGAATTACGGGTTTATTAGCCAAGTGTCTGAAATTAACCGATCTCCTTCAATTTCTACCGCGCTCTGTCTTCGAACTAGTTCTGGGGTTTGTTAGCTGCATGAGCGTCTAAAATAACCGATATCATCAAGCTATCGATAAGAGTGAGGGGTGGGCGGTTCTATGATTGTGAAGAATAATCAGACGACGCAGTTTAAAGGCCCACTGCACTACTTGTCGCTACTTGCGCCCTCACGTTATTAAACAATGCCTAATCGGTGACCATTGGTCCCCCATGATCCTCTTTTTTTAAAATGTTAACTGAGAGCTGAGTTGATGAGATAACCACCTGTCCAGTGACCTCGCGGGGCGATCTAATCTCTCTTGTAAACTAGTACTGATAAGCTTTAAGGCAAATCATTCAGTGGCGGGGGAAGCGGGGTGGGGATGGGGGGGGGGGGTCGGGGGGGGGGGGGGGTCGGTGTTCTTGTTTTGATATTCTCCATGTGCCTCGCTTAAACTCAGATGCGGATCTAGAAAACTATTTGGGGAGGGGGCTGGGTGGGGATTGGGGTACTTACATTCATTTTTCTACTTGTGCCTCGTTTATTTTCATTTATCATCAAGACAATTTGGTGAGTGGGGTGGAAGCAATTTTGTCTCGTGCGTAGGCGGGGGGGGGGGGGGGGGTGAGCACCTAAGTCTTCCTCTAGAACCACCACTGAGATTACCAGAAGAAACGAATTATAATCATGTGAATGATAGATAGTGGTGATCCAAGGCTTTGGACCGAAGTAATTAATATTTGGTGATACCTTCGTTTACGTACGAACTTCAATGGAGCATTCCCCCTCCCCCACCCACCCCGGGCAGATCTGTGATTTTGTTTTGTCTGATTTATTTCAGAGCATGTCATAGTTGATAGAAGGAGAAAGAGGAAGAGAGAAAGAGAGAGAGAGAGAGAGAGAGAGAGCGCGCGCGCGTAAAATGATAATTCCAATACATTTCTCATCAAATTCACATAACATCAGGACATTATCATATCAACACACTTTCTTTTTTCATCTCCTGATTTGCACTAAATTGCTTTTCTGACAAAATAATCAACGCAATCATCAATCTTTCTGCCGCGCTGGTGACTACTCACGCCCATTATACATGGTGCGTGGTCGGAATGCTGCTACCAACACGTTGTAATGGCGGCGAGATGGCCGTGACATTAAACTTCGGAAATGAAGCAAAATAGCCGAAAGAAACGATTTCATCCCATGCATCCTCTGCCCATTAAAGACAATCATTTGAGAGAGAGAGGGAGAGAAAGAGAGAGAGAGAGAGAGAGAGAGAGAGTGGCGTAGGAGAAATGAGGACACCCCTCACTCTCGCAACGCTAGACTCAAGCTGGGGTAATTATTTCCGATAGGCCTATCTATATAAAGCCAGCGTAAAATGCCCCCAGACTTCAAGCCTTTAAAAGCGCGTGAAGATCTACCATTAAGTGGCATGGGCTATGTACCCCTGGCAAAAAAGAAGAAGAAGATGGTAACCACAATTTTACCTTTTGAGTAAACAGAATAGTGATCGTCCCCCCCCCCCACCCCCGTTGAGCAAAAAAGAAAAAGAAACAAAATAGTCCTCATAACTCGGCCCCCCTTCCCCGCTTATCAACGCTAAATAGTTTCTTACGAATTCAGAACCCACCCTTGCCGCCGGTTAGATCGTCCCCTGAGCGGACTATCTTTGTTACTTTCCTATCAAACGGCACCAACAATGCTCATAAAGAATGAAATTACATTTGGATAAACTGTATTAAATTGACTGCTCTAATTAACAAAAAAATGTGCTTTCATCTCAAAACAATTGTTAAGCACCACAGGTGTTATAGCCAACTCAGTTTTGATGAATTTCGTCAATCTATATTGCTAATACCAGCACGTACTATAGCGAATAAATTGTCCCAGAGTCGTCACCATATAACGCCTGGGTGGAGAGTAGCAAGTGCATGTTAATATCTTGCTACATGATATTATAGTGCCGTGTCGGGATTCGAACCCTCGACCTTCGCATCTCTAGTCAAGTGTCTAAAACCACTCGGCCACGACACCCCTAAATGTGTATGTGGGGATGTGATCCCTGCCTCACCTAAAGATAAGATTTAGTTTGGGCGGGGATGTGATTTGTGATTATCCGTCTGATGATTTGAAAATCTACAACAAGTATTTTTTCCTTTGTGGGCGAATTTGAACATTCTCTGCTATACCTGTTCGGAATATTGGTCACACCCCTGGAGCCCCCCCCCCCCTTTAAAGGGAGTGTATCATGGGAAATACTGGTTAACCCCATCTACGTTTTCTTTTGGACAACTACACGTTAACGAATGGACTTCATTAACTGGGTCAGCGAGCTAGGGTTCGCGAAACAGACCGCGCTTCGGTTTCGCGTATGTTGCATGCACGTGAATGCTGCGGTCGCGTCGTCCTTAGTCGATTAGCCCCGAGTTGGCCCACGGGTAAGACATAATTATACAGTCTCGTTATGAAACACTCCCTTTAAGATTTGTCTATCGACAGCCCCAAATGACGCACTTCTTACGACAGCTCTGTCTCACACCTTCGCCTGCTATTAATAGGGAAAATGTGTCTCTGCACATGCAGTTATTTTCACGGTCACCGATAAATAACAAAACATAATACAAAATACACTTTTCCTGATTCTCAAGTCGACCATCTTGATAGAAATATCAGGAGTCTATGGGGTCAATCCGGTGACCGAAGTAACACGTATCATCAAGTAGGGATATTTTGAGAATCCGAATTAAAAAGTATGGGGAAGTCGATGATGCAAAACATAAAGAGAAAAATGACAAAATTAGACGTGTGAGATATCGAGAAGGGTGAGATTCAAGTGATTGCCATGTCTGTCTACCCAGTTAATATTAATATCCTTTCATTCCTTTCACCTCTCTTTCTCTCTTTCTCCTCTCTCTCTCTCTCTCTCTCTCTTTCTCTCTCTCTCTCTATGTTCCTTTCTCATACATACACATACTCACACCCACTCACAAAAACACTCACTCTCTTTTTCTCTCTGTTAAAGATGTTTGTGTTTCTCAAGTTTCTTAATTTCGAAAATGAAAAGTTTCATAAAAGGTAAGGTGAAAATGAAATAGAACCCTATTTCCTTTCCAGAATGACATGATAAAATTATACTTTCCGAGTCGCGAAGCTTTGGGGTACCGAGTGTTTTCCCCCCCCCCCCTCCCCCTCCATACCTCTTTTTTACGATGAGTTAAAAGTTTTAATTGTCTTACGCGAGAGTATCGTTGAATAAGGCCTTTAAACAAATGTTGTATTGCCCATTATTTGTGCCAAAACATGGGTCGGTCGGTCGGAAATCTTTTTTTTTTTTTTCCCAACTTTTTTGTTGTTGTGAACTCCCTCTTTGGGCTAATATTTCTCAGTTTTGAATGCTTTAATACATTTTTTTTTCTTCTAACTGATATTTTGTATTTTTGGGGTTAAAGCAAACCGTGGATTTAAAGATTTTTTGGTCGGTTGCAAAGGGCAATATACCACTTAAAGGTAAAGACCAGTTATGGTCATGCGATTGCATTGTGAAAGAAACGTTGTGGAATCGATTAGAAAAGGTTGATCATCTAGCATCTAGCACTTGCAAGGTTCTGGAATCATCAAAATGATAAGAAATTTGGCCCATTCTTCGTAAAGTTACAAGCACTATACACAGAAAGATGTATATGGGACTACCCTATATCTCTCACAGACCATGAGAGAAACAAATTTACCAAATATATGAATTAGTAGGCGGTTTCCCGGCAAATTTGTTATCATCATGTATTAGTCAAAACATATTCTTTCACATGATTGGTAATGAGAGCTTCCATTTCATTTTTTGAAATTGGGGCGTTTCCAATACTGGCCTTTACCTTTAAAAAAAACAAAAACAACCTAACATCTTTTTAAAATGAATGTCACTGTGGTGTCTGTATCTGTTTTCCACGATTCGTCCCCACCCCCGGGCTTGCTTTCTACCAACAAGATGACGTCACAATCGCTTCGTCACAAATTAGTGCGCAAGGTCAGTTGCATGCCTTGTCAACGATGCACTGTATTGAGAGTCATGTATATGATAACAATAGTTATTGAATAAATGATGATAAAAACACTCTGTAAATGTTAAAATTAACCCAAATGTTGGGTACATTCTTTCCGAAAACAATGTAAAATGATAATAGTGATATTGATGATAGTACTAGTATGATGGTAGTAGTAACAGTAGTAGTAGTAGTAGTAGTAGTAGTAGTAGTAGTAAAATGAGTAGTAGTAGTAGTAGTAGTAGTAGTAGTAGGAGTATTAGTAGTAGTATTGGTGTAGTACTAGTAGTAGTAGTAACAGTAGTAGTAGTGTTAGTAGTAGTAGTAGTAGTAGTAGTAGTAGTAGTAATAGTAGAAGTAGTAGTATAGTAGTAGTAGTAGTAGTAGTAGTAGTAGTAGAATTAGTAGTAGGAGTAGTAGTAGTAGGATTAGTAGTAGTAGTAGTAGTAGCAGTAATAGTAGCAGTAGAAGTAGTAGTAGTAGTAGTAGTAGTAGCAGTAGTAGTAATAGTAGCAGTAGAATTAGTAGTAGGAGTAATAATAGAAGTAGAAGGAGTAGTAGTAGGAATAGTAGTAGTCGAAGTAGTAGGAATAGTAGTAGTAGTAGTAGTAGTAGTAGTAGTAGTAGTAGTAGTAATAGAAGAATAGGTAGTAGTTGAGATAATAGCATCGTTGTTTCCCTAAAAGATATTTTCAGGAAATAATAGCATGCTCAAAACCCTTAGTTAAAGAAAAATAATTACATGCATACAATAACTTTCGTAGTTACAATTAAGCATTCCTCTACATTCCATGAGCTCTGGAGAAAATATTTCAAAGGTGCTATTAACTTGGGATAATTATTTCAATTAATATATTGAAATGTTACAGTCGTTTTATGCTCGCCGTAAACATATGAGTCAAAGTCGAAATATGAAATAATTATCTCTCTGAATACACCAACCAACAGTCATATTCCTTGAACTTTTAATTAGCTATCATCGTAGACGTTTCGGTAGATTTATG